AGAGAGAGAGAGAGAGAGAGAGAGAGAGAGAGAGAGAGAGAGAGAGAACACACAATACTCTAAGTTTCCTGTGCTGTTTGTGTTCCCTTGTTTCTTCTCCCCACTCAGGTCCTTCTGTCTGTCTCTAGAGCAGTCTACCTCAGAGCTTTAACTGAGTCATGCCCATGTTTCCCTTCTCCCCTGTAGAGACACACCTAGACGTAAATGATATGACACAGGACTCATCATGAGGCAGATGAGTTTCCAAGAGAATCATAATGTGTGAGCTCTAGTGTGCAGACTATTTCTGTGACCCTTTAAATGAGTGAGACCGCATCTGCATGAATGATATTTCACATTAAAAAAAAAAGAGGGCCAAGACTGTGGTTCAGTGGTTAGAGTTGCATAGAAGAAATGAAATCTTTCCCTTAAGAATGAAACAAGCCAGGTATGGTGGTGCACAGCTTTCATACCACTACTCAGGAGGCAGAGGCAGACAGAGCTCTGACTTCAGGGCCAGCTTGGTCTACATTACAGAGCTCTAGGACAGTCAGAACGACATAGAGAGATCTTGTTTAAAGAAAACCAAAAAGAAAGAGACAAGAAATAATTTTTTTTTTAATTGTAGGTACTCCAGTAATTAAGGATGACGAAGAAGAGGAGAGTTAAGGCTGCACTTTCCATTTCGTGTTAATTTATTTAAATGTTATGAGAAAAATAGATGTTTTGTATAATTGTCTATTTTAAAGATTTTGTGGGCAGAGTTCTTAAGATAAAACACATCTCTCACTTCCATCCTTTAAAAACAACCTATTCAGTGTTTCTCCCTCAAACTAGTGGCACCAACTTTAGTCCAGTTCACCCTTGGAAACTACAAATGTCCTGGCTTGTCCAATTACATACATCTCCTGTCTCCTAGTATTTACAGACTAGTCATTTTTAACAACAAGGGGACCTGTTATTTGTACTCAGTTGCTTAGTATTTTTTTAGCCCAGGCATTTTAAAGATAGACTTTCCCATCCATAGAAGGTTCAGACTCATAACTCAGAAGCACAAATGCAGCACCTCATTGCTTCAGAAGCAGCGTGGTGATAGAACACATTCCTGTTAGAACGTTGTTGCACCTAGACACAGGAGTCCAATGTCAATTGGAAACACTGATCAGAAAAGGAAGAATGGCTGTCATGGAGTCTTCTTGGCTCATGGCCTATTTTCTTCTTTTTCTAAAAATGTGTGCACTATCAACTGGAATTGAGGTTGTGCTACGTGGATGGCCGCTTAAGTCATTATGTACAACCAGAGACCTCATGGTCCCCCTCAGTGGATAACGCAACTGGCAGGTTCACTCCTTGATGGTAATGCGACTACATCAACTCTTGTGGACCTTGCTTTATGCAGACTTTTAAAAATAATTTCTTATGTGTTTAAAGCAGTAGTCAATAGTCCTAAGTATCTACTATGGAGATTTCTAAAACCTTTACCCTAATGATTTACACTGATGCCCTTTGCTTTACAAGGGTATACACTTAAAGACTGATTTGGTACCTATAAATAAATGAAAGAGTATTTCAAAATATATTTTTGGGAAGATCTAAGTGAAACAGCTTTTAAAGTGTATTGTGTAAGTGATGTAGGGGAAGAGAGAGGTGTTTTGGGAGGGACCCCAGGGAAATAGCAATCTGTTGCAGATTGTTTCCTGTGGAACACTGTAGGTGTCTTAGCCTCAGATCTGCAGAGCAATAGATAAGTGTGAAGATTATTGTAATTTATCATGTAAGAAAAATATTCTGAAAAATGTAAAATGTCATCAGTACCAGATAAAGTCTCTAGTGGGCCATGATAGAATCATTGACTGATTGCAGAGAAAAAGTCAGGAACCCCTGCCAAACTGTGCCTAAAGTCTCAGCCAGAGGCTGCTGATTCTTGTCCCTGTCTCCATGTGGTTCTCCCTGTAAGTTATCACAGTGAAGGGGGCAGAATTTTTTTTTTTTTAATGATTACATGAGTAGTCTTGGTTTGAGAACTTATAGCTATCATTTCAGTAAAAATGACTCGATTTCTGTAAGAGTCACACTGGTCAGAAGGGACCACTGCTTTGACAATCAACTCTAAATCCATACAAGAATGCCTGGGTGTGGGCTGGAGAGAGCGAGCGAAGAGGCTAAGAGTGCCTGCTGCTCAGGACCTCAGTTTGCTTCCCAGTGTCCACATGGAGGTCCACAGCCTCCTGGATTCCAGGGGATCTGATGTCTCCCTGGCCTCCCTGGTGCCAGGCACACACGTTGCACATACACACATGGAGACAAAACACTAAATACATAATAAGTTTGTAAAGAATATCTAGTCTAATACCTTATACATGCTCCTTTTTAGCTTTTCTGATGGGAAGAAACTTTACCCTGACTGGCTTAAATGTTCAAATTGGCATTTCCCTTGTGGGCAACAGTGGTGAGACTTCCTTGGTGGTGCAGAAGGCCTATAAGCTGAGGGGACACTGTTGTGGTCACTTATAGTTTACACAGGCAAGTCCTGCTACCACTGATGCTGGGCTTCCTGAAATGTACCTGGGAGTGAGGACGAGACGCAGATGGCTTCACCCTGGCTCTGTGAAATGACTTACAGATGTGTGTTTGTCTCCAAATTCTGTAGTTGGGAAACACCCCTCGCCCGTTTCTTAATGTCTTTTAATCACTGATGGTTCTCGGAGGTGCACAAGGTGCTTTTCTGTGTCCATTTCACACAAAAACCTTTTCAGCTCCTTGCCACAAATATTGGAATGACTTTGATGTGTCTCTGTTCCTGGAATTAAAGCCAAAATGCATTCAATTTGAAAGTGGAAGGCCAGCCTGGTCTCCAGAGCAAGTTCCAGAACAGCCAAGGCTACACAGAGAAACCCTGTCTTAAAAAACAAAACCAAAGGAAAAAAAGGAAGGAAGGAAGGAAGAAAAGAAAGAGAAGGGAGGGAAGGAAGGAAGGAAGGAAGAAAGGAAGGAAGGAAGGAAATGGAAGGCTGAGTACATGAGTGAGTTAAGGCTGCCCCCTCTGTCCTCCTTGTCCTCTCTGTTCCCTCTGTCCTCTTTATCCTCCTTGTCCTTTCTGTTCACTCTGATCAGTCATGAAGTCTTCTTTTACTGCTAAACATGTCGTTGAGGAAGATGGGGCTTACGCCATTCCGACTTGAGATTGGACCAGCTTGGAATAGGTGCTTTCTGTGATCATTTGAACATCTAGTATTATAAATAGTGATAGGGTGCAGGAACAGCCCAGGATTTTAATTTTTCACTGTCAATATGATGTTGGTGTGTTAGAAGTCTACTTCCTATATTTCCTAATTCTGAGCTAATGGCCATACTCTAGCTAGGCCTTGGATGGCTTTCATAGTCCCTGCTCACTGCACAGAGCTCTGCAGTGTGGGTGCTGTGTGACTCGCCCTTGTGGGGCTGTGCGCTCTATGACATGTAGCTGCATCCCTGTCTTTTACTCTCTAGATGCCCGTAGCTCCTCTCCAGTTATGGCAACAAAAGATGGCTGCAAGCATTGCCCACTGAGCCCGGGAGCAGGGGAACAGCCAAACTCTCTAGATAAGAGCCAGTGTTTCCTGTGCCAGCATTCCTCTGTGCAGGCTGTTCACCCTCAGTCTGGAGTCCGTGCCACTGGCATTATTATGAGAGAAGGTGACGTTTTACCATCATGCTGGAGCTGATCAGGTGTTTGCCCTTTGGTACAATGCTCAGTTTCATGGTCCCCACACAGTCTTAGAAAGCTCAGGCCTGGAAGCTGCAACTTCTCTCTGTAGGATTTTAACCTGAGTTTCTTATTCCCCTGCTCATTTTAGGACAATGGTTGATCACTTAATCTACCTCTGTCACTGTCAACAAAATCCAACTTAATGATAGATTTTGCTTTGTCTCTAAAGCTTAGTATTTGGATTAAGCTTTAGAAAATGTGTCATCCTGGACAGACTTTTTTTGCAGACTGTGTCAGTCATTACGTCTAGACTGTGTCGTACTGAGTCCTCACGCCTGGAAGTCAGCTGGGGCAGGTGTCAGTACTGCTGACCAGAAGGATGCAGTTCCTGCTCAGTAACTTGGGATACTCTCTGGGGCTGCCCTAACTGTGGCTCTGGAGTGGAAGTATCTTATTGAATAGGTGTTTGTCGGGGTCTGAAAGCAGAAGAGGGAGCAATGGAAACAATCTGTCTGTCACTGGCTCAGAGTCGGTGACATGGAAAACAGGGGAATCTTTTACCTGAGTTTTTCTTTTTCTTTCCTTTTTTTTCTTTAAGATTTATTTCATTTATATGAGTACACTGTCACTGTCTTCAGACACACCAGAAGAGGTCATCAGATCCGATTATAGATAGTTGTGAGCCACCATGTGGGTGCTGGAAATTGAACTCAGGACCTCTGGAAGAACAGTCAGTGTTCTTAACCACTGAGCCGTCTCTCCAGCCCTACCTGTTTTTTCTTGAGGTTTTTTTTTTTTTAGTTAGCTAGCCTAGAAAGTTTGCATTTAATCATTCACTTTGGAAAATGGGTGAGGAGTTATTGTCTCTGACTGAGGTAGTAGTTCACAGTTCACTGAGACTGTAAATAGTAACGCATGGGTAAAGGGAAAAAACCTGTCCTTCCAATGGTCAGCCTCAGACATGCTTGTCCTTTATGTGGGCTGAGAATGAGTGTGAATAATGAAGCAACAGCCAGTGCAGCAGTGAGTTGGACTTTCTGTAACAACTGACCAGATCGTAGTCCTTTATGTTTACCTAGTGTGCAAAGTATGAAAGCATAAGCAGAGACAGTTACACCAGCAGTCACTCAGCTTCTAGAATCCCATGCCTGTGCATCTATGTCTGCCTTTTAATCATCAGTAACTGTGAGAAAGGAAACAGAAAGGAAACCTAGAGACTTCTAGACTGATAGAAATTGGCTCACTGAACACATGAGAAATTCTGTTCAGATGCTCACTGATTTCCCATATTGGGCAGATTAGAGAGGACCCAGATAGCCAATTATGATCTGACAAAGATTGAACAAGAAGAGAGAGAGAGTAGAATAGATTTGCACATTAAAATTGTGAGTGTGGCTCATGGGAAAGAACTTCCAAAGGGCTGGGCCTGCACACAGATGTCCAGACTCAGACTTCAACCTTTGTGCTATAATTGCTGTCTGTCTTCATGGTCACTTAGGATTTTCCGCCTTTCCTATTTGGGTTGTATCCAAGGTCATCCCTCTGGGAGGGTGTAAAATAGCTTTTCTATTCAGAATAGAAACTTTGGCTTGATTTGGTTTTGGTTTTCCAAGACAAGGTTTTCCAGGGTGTCCTGGACCTCACTTTGTAGACTAGGCTGGCCTCAAAGGTAGAGATCCACCTGCCTCGGCCTACCTAGTGCTGGAGTTAAAGGCGTGCGCCGCCACTGCCTGGCCCATATCTAGATTTTAAATTTTCATTTTAGTGTTGGCTACATTACACGGTAGGTCTCCAGTCAGTGGGAGACCCTGCCTATGACGCTGTTGCCGAGTGGGCCCACTCCTGTCAGTGGCTGGTGGAGAGCAGACGGCACACACAGTCCACTCGCTCCCCCCAGGCTGTCCTTCATGGCCAGGGGCATCATTCTCAAAGCTCGACTTGTAGAACCATGGTCATTGTGAAGAACATTTTAGCATCTGTTAATGCTTTGGTAAGAATCTTTTATACACAGGACTTTTGTAGCATGACTTTATGACTAAACATATTGTGCATTAAATTATTTAGTAATATTGAGTTTCTGAATGTTATTTTGTGAAACTTGTTTTAAAATAGTAATAAATCATGTTATTTTATAAAAAAAAAAAAGTCCTCCAGTTATTATTGGTTAATACAGAGTAACTCACATGATACCTGAGTTCTGAAGCAGTTCCACTTTAGAGTGGTAGAGTCCATGCATGTGGTGACGGGGCCAGGGAGGAGAGACGGGGAGAGAGCACAGCAGGGGTGGGTGGGGAGACACAGACTGGTTGGTTGATGGAGGCAACAGCTCAGTGTGAAGCCCTAGCTGTCCTAAAACCCACTATGCAGACTAGGCTGGTATCACACTCAGAGATCTGCCTGCTTCTGCCTCCCAAGTGCTTGGATTAAAGGTGTGCACCACACTCAGCTGAACCAGTCTCTGCTGATTCCTTCCTCACTTAGCACCAGTGAGAATGTCCCTGGCCGACTTTCTACTGGAAAGAGCACTCCATGGTCAGCTCCCCTGCCCTCGACCATCCTTAGTAAAGGTTAGCCGAGAGACCCCTGAGAAGCAGGGAACCCCACAGTATCAGGAGCACCATACACATTCTGCCAGTGTATAGTCGGTGCTCTCAGTCAAAACATCATTTAGTTACAGAATAAAACTACCACGCAGTTTCTACTATATCACTGATAAACCTTTCTAAAAAACTAGAATTTAAAAGGTTTTGAGCTTATAGAGAGAAAACAAATTAAATCATAGTTACTTCTGATTAACTGTTATCTTGCTCAAAGGTTGTGTGTCTGTCAGCATCTCAGGTGACTGAGGCAGGAGGCTGGGCAAGCTCAAGAGAAGCCCAGGCTACAGAGGAAACTCTCCTCAGAAAGACGGGGAAGGGAATGCATGCCTGTGAGCCTGACACTGGTTCATGTTTGGTATTACATATGGATGCATGGGCACGAAGGTATGCACAGTTCTTATATTTAATTAAATAGTCAAATACTTTTCCCTCACCGGGTGCAATCAATCAGCTATCTAAAGAAAGTATATTAAACATGTTGGCACAAGCGTATAGAATATCAGCACTAGGGAGGCTGAGGCAGGAGATTATAAGTTCAAAGCCAGCTTCAGCTATATAGCAAGTTGCAGGACAGCTTCCTTTATACAATGTGAGACTTCTCAAATGACAAACCAGAGCAGTGGGCAGGCCTGGGGTACAGTGGTAAAGTGCCTGACCTGCATGTGACAAACCAGAGCAGTGGGCAAGCCTGGGGTACAGTGGTAAAGTGACCTGCATGCGTGTGGTCTTAGGTTCACTCCTTGCTACTGATGAAAACAGTCTAGCAACTACTGAGTTGAGGTTGCCTTGGCAGGACAGTGTGGGCTGCTGAGGTGGCACAGCATGTAAAGGCTGCCACCATCAAGCTGCTAACCTGAGTTTGATCCCCCAACCTACATGGTGGAAAGAGAGAGCTTACTCCTACAAGTTGTCCTGTGTCTTCCCCATGTTTTTGTCCACAGTCAAAACTTGGACTATGTTCTTATGTGAAGCCAAGGATGCTGACAACGTGAAAAATACAGAATCCATCCTTGGTCTTAAGAATATATATCTAAGTATATGAGTTGGGAGTGTGGTTGGTTAGCACGTGATTGCAGAATCCAAGCATGTGTAAAAGTGCAAGAAGTCAACTCTTACGTTGAGGGACCCACATGGTAGGAGGAGAAATTGGGTTCCTGCAAGTTGTGCTTTGACCTCTGTATTCATACCATGACATGCACACCAACATCCATACACACAAGATGTTTTAAAAATCTGGAAGAACATATAAGAATATTAGCATTTACAAGCTAGCAGCAGTCAGTTAACAAACGGCACCAGAGTCCTGTCACCCCATTCTCTGCCCGTGCGTCGGTGCCTCCACGAAGCAGAACCTCAGAGATAGGCAGCCATGTTGTCCACGGTACACCAGCTCCAGTCTCAAACCTCAAGAGAAAATTTCATGGCATTTCCAGATTTACCCAGGAGCTCAGAGGTGGGCATCTGCCATCACTGAAATGTATAAAATGGCTGCCGGGAACCAAATACTGTGCACACACACAATTGGACCATTGCTTCTGCATTGAAACACTGTTAGTCACACCAGGACTTTAAAAGGAAAGGTTGCTAGATAACCTAAGCCTCAAATCAAATTTTTGTCAAACTTCATAGAAACGTATCTCTTCAGTCATTATCACTTGCCTTGAGGAAGTCACGTGAAAATTGGACCCACTGATTGTCTGCCTAGAATCCCAGCCCCCCGAGAGGGAGGCAGGAGGATCACAGGTTTTAGAGTACTAGCCCTTGCTACATAGTGAGACTGTATCTAAAAGAAATAGCTAGGAGGAATGACTCAGGCCTGTAACCCCAGCTCTGTGGAGGCTGGAGGCAGGAGGACTGCTGCAAGTTTAAGGCCAGCCTGGGCTACAGAGAATTTCAGGGCAGCCTCAGCTACAAAGAGGGGCTATGACAAAACAATCAAGGAACTGGCCAACCAAGATATGTAGGTAGCATTGCAATTTAACTTCAGAGAAAGGAAGGGTAATTTTTTTTTCACATGAGCAAAAGTCCTTGTTACGAGAAAAATACATGGAGCTAAATTAAACTGAAAAATGAGAATTTTCAAATTTTTATTTTGTATACATCTATTCAATAACTTCAAACGTAGAACCCTTAGCATCAACATGACCAATAATTAAATGACCAATCTTTGGAGTGGGGGAAGGGTAGCTTGTCCACGGCCACTCCCCCTGGGACTTATGTCTGTATCTTCCACCGTGAGGAATTGATTGTGTAGGTCTATAAAGGTGCATTTTTCTAACACGACACTTTTAGGCCGAGGATACTTTTCAGGGAAACTTTTCAGGGAAGCGTTGAGCCATGTGCAATTAGAAATCTGTCTTTTCAAGATGAGTAATATCATCTAATAGAATCACCTTCTTTCCATCCATACAAATGAGCAACGGTGTACAGTAAAACTATCCAGGGCTACTGACATAGAGAAGACGTTGTACTGGACAGCCTGTGAACCGGGCGTGCACTTAGCGTCAGAACTTCACAACCATCTTGACAGGAAGTGTCACAGCTTCACGTTTTTCACAGCTGTCAAAGATGTCACCAGGAGGGCTGGCATCAAGCATTCACTTTCGGCAGAATGAACCACCTTTACTACAATTCTGTGAATGTTACCGGAATATGAGGGCCTGACTTTCCTCTCCCGTCCCTCAGAAAACAAAAAACCAGAAGGAGGCTGGGTGTTTACTTTTAGTGGCAGGCTTACTAAAACTTCACAGGGATATCAAAAGCAGCCTGGCCAATCCTGGGACTCATAAGTGCCCCTCCAGACCTAGCTGCAAGAGTGCGGCCTCAGCCTCCTCCTCCTCCTCTTTGGCTTCCTCCTCTCGAATTTGCACCAATAACTGGAAGAGGTTGGGTGCAGGCCCTTCCGAAGCCCTGGCCAGCCACAACTGCCTTCGAAGCGCCCCGCTGTGGTTGGCCCCAGCGATGATCTGCTCCAGGCGGGCCTGGTTTACTTTGTCTTTATCAATGGCCCCCTTGGCCACTACCTTTTGCAACAGAGGCTCCAGACGGATAACGTATGAAGATAACTTTTCTCCTGGGTTCTGGTAAGTGTTCAGAAATCTGACCTGTGCATCTCTAGAGCTTTCCACACTCCCGAACACCTGCTCGAGAGCCTTCAGGCATTCTGCGGTGGTTATGGCAGGGTTGTTGGTCTTGAGGATGCGGATGACATCAGCAGCCGGGCCTCTCAAACTCTCCATCAACCGCCGTCTCTTTTCTATATCAGACACCTGCCATTCCTCTATGACTTCGTTTGAGTGCTCCAGCCAGGAATCAAAGGTCTCCTCGCCAGGCCCAGGAATGTCCCTTCCGGAAAACAACGTCAGCTTTTTATACCATATGGACTCGACAAGAGGTTGAATAACATTATCCAAAATATAATTGAGCATCTCTGCTGGCATTTCCGGGCCTGGAGCTGGAGCAGGGTTCTGAAACCCAAGCACACGAGCAACATCTTGCACGGTCCACCCTTCCCTAGCTAGAAAGAGGTGCAGCCTTTCCAAAAACTCTGCATCGGAAGTAGGGGGCTTAAACAGAACTTTCCAGAGCCCTCCTTTGCCTGGCATCTCCCTGGGGATCAGGGAGTAATCCACTGCCCCAGTTAGCTCTAACAAAGCTGCTTTCGCATTTTCTTCCCTCCAGAACATTCTCCCCAGTACTCGATAGGATACCTGGGGCATCGCAGTTTGGAGGGTCTCTTCGATTTCGGTCTCATCGCAGTTCACAGGGATCCCCCAGACCAACAGAGCTCTCTGGGAGTTCACATCCATTCCCCTGCACCAGTCTTCCAATAGTGTCATAGCCATTTATCCCAACTATTAAGGGTGCCAGTTCTACAGACACTGCTTGGACTGGCTCACGCTGCTATAGGGCCTAGGACAATACAACATGCTCTCCTCCCCCTGTAGGCCAGGGGGCGACAAGCTTCAAGCAACCACAATTACCAAAAGACACCAGAGTTCCGTCTCATCCCTTCCGGGTCCCAAGTCAATGCCGGGAGCCACGGGACACTCCACCTATCACTCGAATGTGGCCCCCTTTGGTCCAGGCAGGGGTGGACTGGCTGCAGCTGTGCCTTGCGTCACTGCTTTGAGAAAGGGAGCAAGGTGGGCTCAAGGCTGGCTCAAAGCTGCAGGCTCCGGGCGGGAGATGGCTGGGTGTGGTTGCGGGGCGTGGCAGTTCCTCCCACCTCTCCCCGGCACCGCTGGCTAGCTGAGGGTCACGCGAGGCCGTGGCTCAGCTACACCGAGAGAGGCTGCACTCTGAGCACCGGGACCTGAGACGGCAGAAAGCGCAGGAGGGAGGAACCGGGCTGGAGGCAGCTCTGCTCAGCACTTAGGGCCGCGCGCTCCTGCAACGGCCGCCCTGCAGCTGCAGTGGAGGGCGGAACCGGTCCGCTCGCCTCCCCAGTGTCACCGTGACAACTGTGTCCATGACGACGCGAGATGCGCGGGCTCCAGAGGATCTGGCGGTTGCTATGGTGCCAAGAAGGAGCTTGAGGAGTCTACCTTATGACGGCACATTTCTTTTTACATCCCCCCCGCCCCCCGCCTCGTACTTCCCAGATTCTTTCTTAACAATATTGCTAAGCATGTTTTGGTTTAATTTTGCTGTGGACTTAAGTTGGCCTTATTGATACGCATCCACCACGACGGACTTGTCTCATATCGCTCATCCATTCTATGCGTTCACTCTTTGCTGTTGAAAACACTGACTCTGACTTCTGTGAACCACCTGAACCCACTCTGCAACCGTTCCGCTTCTCCCCACAAAACTAGAAAAGAGAATTCCATCTACTGGTTCCTGTGTCTGACTTAGCTTTCTTGTCTAAAGTAAGTGTGTGTGTGTGTGTGTGTGTGTGTGTGTGTACAAAACCCCCTGACCACTTATCTTTGTAGCCAGGCAAACTGCAAACATTTTCCCTTCTTGTCCTTATTGACTATACAGGATAACAAAACAGAATGATTAAGGCTCAGAAAAGGGGGCTAAGCTCCCGTCAAGCAAAACAAGGCCTATCAGTCCCAGCTGGTAAAAACACCCCTATAAGAATGTGCTATTCAACAATGTTTTTTTTAAAACCTTATTTAATAAAAGGTCTTAAGATACAGAACATTCAAAAGTAAATAAGTTACATAGGTACATTACAATCACATCAGCAAGATTCTCTTTAGTGTATTAATTTTTTATATAAAAAGCACACAAAAAATAAAATTTTCAGTCTGGTCTATCACAACTGTACACAAAGAGGTAATATTTATATGTATGTACACTATTTTAATATGTAACAGTCTTTTTTAAAAAGAGTGCCACAGGCAACAAACACATGAAAGGCAGTGTCTGACCATTTTGTTTCAAAAAAAAAGGAATATACTTACTTTATGCTATTAAAATATTTGTACAATAATTACAGACTATCAAGGCTGTTCTGTGCTCTGTCCTCTCCAACAAGGCCTTTAACTTAAGAGACAAATGAGGAAAACTAACAGCTGCAATTTTTTTTTGAGGCAACTAACACAGCCAAATGTGGGTTAGATACAACTGTTTTTATAAAAATATGCATACTTCCTGTAAAAACCTAAGGGGTTAGGCTTTGCCAGTCTAGTAATAAATAACAACCCAGAAAAGTGAGCCCCAATAAAAAATATTTAAACAGCTGAGGCTTGAGTATGTCTTGTACTCTTCCTCCTCTGTCTTTAACATCTGGCACATGAGAAAAAAGAGGTTGACTGAGGCAGTTAAATATAGGCAATCCCTTTAGACATCATCAGCACAGGGCCTCTGTGCCAGGACTGGAGGTGGGGCAGCAGAAGGGTGGTGGGTATGTACCTTAGCTATGAGGGGTCTGCTGAAGGCTTAGAGGACAGTAGTAAGGGCAAGAGACCTCAGAAATGGTTCAGAACATAGGCACTGTCAGTGTCATGCCCTTCTCTGAATGCAGGCAGAGGCTGGGAGACAGGCTGGGAAACACGGTGTAGGGATGCTATTGTAAAACAGGGAGCTCTGAACAGAAAGAACGAACAACAGAAGCCAAGCCCAGTGTGTTCATATGAGAAAGCACCAGTAAGGATGTGCATCTCCACTTTGAAACAGTTCGGTTTCCACACGTGTGCGTTGGAGCAGGGGCCCCTCTAAAACAGTGTCTGGTGGGATTACTATCTAAAGGTACCATCTTCATTTTACTTTTTTTTCCGGCTATGTTCATCTGGTCTCTGTGAACTTAGAAAAGCAGACTTGCTTTTTCTTATTGAGACTTCTAAGGATTAGTTGGTACCACTGAACAGAGGAGTCTCATGGGACTGAAGGTTTCTGATATCGCCTGTCCACCAAGGGGCCTGAGCCAAATATGGTTTAAATAGAAAAGAACCTTGGGAAACAGAAGTGGCACTTTGGGGCTAAGCTGTGAAGGCACTCGTTATACAAGTGATTTAGAAGACATCCTAAACTTGTTGCCCTCCTGCTTCTAGAGGGTACCAGATTTTTGTAACCTCAGGACTTCAAGTTCATAGAAGCCCATGAGGGAAACAAACAGGGAAACTGAAGGTTAAGGTATCTAGGGGGACAGTTTTGTTACTTCCACAGGCAGCTCTCACAGAACCATAGTAATGCATAAATGAATGTAAGGAATACCCAATAGTCCGTAGCTTAAAGACAAAACCCACCTCTATTTCCAGTTCCCAACAGGGCTGTAGACTCTTTCCTAAGGAATGGTGAACATTTTCAGCTCTTTACTCACATGTTCAACAGTCTGACACGCAGTCACTTAGACTTTCTTCTGTACAACTGAAGTTAAGTGATGGCATCAGAAAAGTAACTTTAGGCCCCCTATGGAACTGGAAAGCGAAGAGGACTCTAGAACATTCCAACCCTTCAGTAATTCCATGCCAAATATGGTTTCTTCAAGCCAGAATCCAGACTGATAACTAAAACTAGAATTCTGGCCTCTTGCCAGCTCCCTTGAGCATTTGAAAGTACGGAGAGGGCAGGATGGAGACCTGCCTTTGAACTCACCCACATCTGCTAGTTTCCTGTGACCGATAACACTCCCCACCTTCCCAGGCAGGTCAGTTTCTATCATTCCTGCAGCCAAGAGACACAAGGTAAGGGACCCCAGGGCCTTGGAACTGGGGGAGGATTTGGGGATGCCAAGAAGGTGCCTTATTTTGGGATAAATGCACTTGGGCCTCTGGAAAGCAAGAGGCCCCTGGTCCCTGAGGATGTTAAAAATTAAATATTAAGAAATAAATAAATAGTTCCCGAATGACAAGTCAAGGAATAAAGGCTCCTGTCTAACCTAGTTAGGAGAGACATCTTCCTCCTAGGGAAGGATCCGGAAATCTCCAACACGTAGTATCTGTGTGTGTGTGTGTGGGGGGGCCTGTGAATATCAACATAGACTGGGGTGCAGTGGGAGTAACTGGCAGCTACTGAGAACGACAGGCAAGAAGGAAGCTGGCACCAAAGAACAGGCCAGGCCTCTCTAGGACCTGCTTGCTTGAGGCTCCTTTAGCAGCCTTCAAGACCCAAAGGTATAAAATGGTGGTCATGGGCTTATCAAAAGATCCCTCGGGCCTAGCTCTGCATCTTCTGGCCTCTCAACAGTTCCCCTCCATGTGTAGCAGGATGGGAGCCGGGCATGAACGCCAAACGTTTGAGAAAATGTTAGCAGCCCCAGACGGGCTGTTAGCAAGCAGCAAAGGGTTTGAAACAGCTCTCCGAGATCCGCCTAAGGAAGTGGTGACCTTCAGACGGGATCATTGGAGTGGCTCCGGCCTGAGCATGACTGCACAGAGACAACAGAGGTGTTAAGGCCACCACTCTCTAGGGAGTCCCTTCTGGGGGGCTCAGGGAAAGGTCTGCACAGCCTTCCAGGTCCTCTGGGGAAGGAGGAATAATGCTGCCACGGGCTGAGCTTGTGCTTGGCTTGCCATGGTTGCTCACTAAGGACCTGGGATGAAAGAGGCACAGATGCATCAGCAGAGGTCAGAGAAGCACTACGGAGCTCTTCCCCGTTCCAAAGGCCCTGGCCTCTCAAGGCTCCAGGAAAGCAGAACTACTCGACACAAACCAGATACTCAGAGAACTGGATCCTGCAGCCCTTAACACTGTCCTTGGCCTTTGTAAATAAAAGAGCCTGTTTATTTTTCATTATCGTATTTGTTTTGCAGAGCAAGGTCCAAGTGACCCTCTCCTGGCCCCCTCTAGAGGCTCCAGGTCCAGGGTGCTGGGAAGCCCGGCAAGAGAGTCCAGCAGGGCCTCAGCCCTTCTCCCCTTCGCCACTCTCTTCTCTTAGTGCCTGCTGATGAGCAGCGGCCGCTGCAGCCTCCTTCTCCTTCAGCCTCAGAGCTGCGGCCTTCTTCTCCTGCTCCGCGTGACTCTTCATGTGAGCACTGCGGCTCTTCACCTTGTAAAACACCCTGTAGCCGGCAGGAAGGGCTCGGGTGAGAGCACTACCCCTTCACTCTACTCCCTCAAACCCCAGCCTGTCCACCTAGCCCCTACCCTAACCCCGCCCACTAGGGGAGGATGCCGCTCCGCCCCCTCCCGCCCCTTCAAACCATGCCCGCCCCGTGACATCATTACCCTGGAAACCCACTAATCCAATCAAAAAGCAGATCCCCAGAGCCCCGCCCCCAGCAGCATCTAAACCCTCAGCTTGCAAGTCCCTGCCCCAACATTAATGGTTCCTGTGGAGACAAGAAGGGACTTCTCACCTGCCGCACTTTTTACAAGGGAAAGTGTTCTCCTGGTTTTGGGTTTTATTAAATGCCTCCGGTTTTTTCTTCTTCTCTGTGAACGGCAGCGCCCTTCGTGACTTCCCCGGCCCCTCCCTTGGCTTCTCTGAGGTCTGAACACCTGCAGACCCCGGGGCATTGGGTTCATGGCTCCGGAGAATGAGGACCTCATTGGCCTGGAGACAATCAACAAACAGAGTGTGTTTTAGAGGCAATTGTGGAGTCAGAATTCTGGCATTTCAAGGAACAGAGGACCCTAAAAAGTCACATATTCCTGCCAAATGGTCAGGAACAGGACCCGTTGGCTGCTTTCAGGAGGCCACTGGAGCTGGCTTCATCACAAAGTGGCTGACACAGTAATTCTGTGCCACACCCTGGCAGTTAATACTTCTGACTTTGTGTTCACGTTTGTTTGTGTGGGTTTTTTTTTTTTTTGACATTTAATCCAATCTTATCTCCATGCCAGAGAGACATGTGTTCACAAGATGTCCTAGGAGCCCTGTCTCCAGAAAGGGACAGATGTAACAGTCACTTGCTGAGGAAGTACTAGGAGGGAGAAGAGAAGAGAAAGAACAGGTATCGAGAGCAGAGGAGACATGGTGTGCACCCCAAGGAGGTTACTGCTTTGGTCTCAGGCCAGAAACCCCAGATGGCCATCAGAAGTGATAAGTGTGCCCTGGGTCACCCTTCAAAGTGTCCACGAAACAGGAGAACTAGACAGCAGACACTACACAGCTCCTGGCAGGACAGCAGTCAAGCCCACAGGAAGCAAGCAGCTGTGTCTGGCTGACAGGTGTTCTGCAGGTAGAGTGTTCAAACATACTCCCATCTCTCCGACTTCCTGGGAAAAGTCTCTGACAGGGAAGCTAACTGTGGTACGTTGCTCAGTCTGGGAAGGGGACAGAGCACAGAGACCTGGGGTGTACCTTCAGCCAAGTCAAATGGCATCTCTGGCCCTGATTTCTCTCATCTGCCAAGTGGGAGGTAGCACTGAGCAGTTACTGTGAGGAATGACTGAGATAGCGGACATGGCGCACTCAGCAGAGAACACAAAGGGCCATTCGCACAGGCTCAGCCGTGCTGCAGACATTCTTGTCAGGCACATGTTCTAGGGGAGCCACAAGTGAGCTACAGATTATGAGTGCGTCTTCCATGCCACACAACTACCGGGCTTCTACAAGGCCTTTTTCTTCTGACTCTCAGACACAGAAACACAGTATGTGCATGCATGCATGTGTATATAAATAAATATATATCTATTTATAAAACATGCCTGCATATAGTACGTGTATATACATATAAATACAAACAAATATATTTTTGCAATGGAAAAATAAATTGCAGTCTGAATCAGGCTGTCCACAAGCTACGTAACCTTCAGCCCCAGTTCGCTTAGCTGTAAAGTGAGACTCACAATAGTCCTTACCAAACACAGGGTTAACACCCAAGTAAGTGAAGCACACGAAGTATCTGGTCTATGACCATGAGGGTCACCATGGTCCAGCTATCCTCCCCCACACCCCCCAAGCTTTGCCCAGACTTCCAGCTCTGCCCTTGGAGAGCAAAGGTGGAGGTCACTTACCGCCTCATTGGCCTGTAGTGTCTGTGTCGCCTTGACAGCGGCGGCCCGCCGGCTGCGCTCTGCTCGGCCCTCCTCCTGCTCTCCCTTCTCCTGGGTGTCTGGCACCTCCTCCTCCCCCTCCTTCTTGGGTTCTTTCACTTCCCTCTTGGGCTCCAGCCTCTCTTCACTTGGGGACTCTCTTCTGGGAGGTGGCACCCTTGGGAACTTCTGAGAAGTCTATGGGGGACAAGGATGATCTCTGTCATCCCAGAGTAAAGACTCTGATCCAGGCTCCCGAGCACCTGCTGGGTCCGCAGTCCTGTCCTGGCCCAGTCTAGCCTCTTGTACTAGGACTCTGTCATAAGTCATCGCTTTCCTATGGCCAGCTGGCCTGGAAAAGGATCATAGTCCTGACCCTGGGTGCCCTCAGGGTGAGACTGAGCCAGGAGTATGGAGGGAGTTTGCCAGGACCCACAAACCACCTGGCTTCCTGGAGAGATGCCCAGAATCTTTTGAGCACTCTTCAGACAGAGTGACCTCGTGTGTCAGGCAGGAGGTCTGTGATACTTTCTGTATTTCTATACCCTATCTGCAATACAGGAACCAAACTACTCCCTGATCTCAAAGCAGAATGCCACCAAGTCTTGACTTGTAACCTAGAGACAATGTCAAGAGGATTCATGGGAGCAAAATTAAATCACAGAGTCTTTCAAAGACCAAGTCAGGGTTGGTGTTAATGTGCCTCTTCCCTAGACTCGATAATCTGTCTAAAAGAGAAGCCAGCCCTGTCTCAGTGTCCTGGCAGGCAACAGCAGCATGTAGCTGGCATTTAGTAACAGTGTTTGGTTTTCATGTGTACTTATTTTTCCCAGTACCTTCTATTTATAGGCAACAATACTGGTTTCTATTTATGATTGTAATATAAAGCTTCCCTTTTGAGAAAAAAAAAATGAGCCGACTCAAAAAAAATTAATAATAAAAGTTGTGTGGGACGTGACAGAAGCTGTAGTTGTGGTGTGTGTTAACGCACAGACAAAGCAGAAATGATAAAGATGGTATAAAAGCTGGAGCCCAGAAGTGGCCTTGGTGGTCGGCTGGGAGGAGGCAGTGAGACGAAGCTGTGGTGCCGACTCTCCAGTGTTCTACAGTCAGCATCGTTCCTACAACCCGGACAGTTCATACTGGAGAGCTCAAAAGGGCCATGGCCTGGGCCACCAGCTCCCACGAGCTGTCAGGGATCTGCTCTCCTCTGTCAACCCTGTATAAACTCAGGCTTCCAGTCAGGTCCTGGCCCAAGTGTTACCCAGAGTGAGGCAGCGGAGTCGGGGAAGGACTCACCTTAACGTCCACCTCAACTTCCTCTTGGCCTGACTTCTCGTCACCGGTATCCAGGTCGCCGAAGGTGAGCGTCCCATTGCGGCCAATTTTCACCTGTTTCTTGTAGGTGTAGTAGAACTCCACACACTGGGCCACGGTCTTGGTCTGGATCTGAGTTAAAGCCAAAACAGAAGTCAGGGGGAGCGGATGTGGCTCACCTTTCTCATCACAGCGTGTTCCCCTTAGCCTCTGGCAAAAAAACTAAACCCCAAACCCCAATTCTCAATTCAATGCCTGTTCCACAGTGAATCTCTGACCAATGCAATTAATCCAGGCTTCTGCACCGTTTCAATGAGGAACGCCAAAGGACCAGAATTTCTGGGTAGATTTGACTGTGGACTAGATATTAGAGGGTTGTGACCTAGGAGAGCCCCAGTACAAGAGGCTGCACTGGGCCAGAGGGGATCAGGAGCCCTGGCTGTCAGAATCTGTACCGCAGCAGTGTAACTAAACTCATTCTTATTCTTCACACTTCTTGGACGCTCTCCTGGCTCCTCCTGGAGTCCCCAGTGAAAGGGGCCTCATCATCCTCGTTTCTGCTTTTCAATGTAAGCAGTAAGTGACGTGACGTCTGAACCACAGACCATCCCCACGGGCCTCTCAATGTGCCTTTACAGTGCTTGCCAACGCTTAGAGAAGTTTGATTTGAAAAGAACCCTCCTGCCCCTGTGCTAGGCATTCAATATAAGGCCTTGCACATGGCCAGGCAAATGTTTACCATTAAATAGTGCTTCTAATCCTACCTGCCCCCATTTTAAATTTTGAGACAGAGTCTCACTAAGTTATCTAAGGCTGGCCTTAAACTCACTTTAGTAGCCCAGGCTGGCTTTGAACTTGCAATCCTCCTACCTCACCGTCCCCCTAAATAGCTATAATTACAGGCCTAGACATCCAGGCTCAGCTATAGTTTACTTTAAATGATTTGGTGAAACAGAAGCGGGAAGAAGAGATAGCTCTGTGTGTTTCATGGATCTGTATTTAGATGCACACAGAGAACGAGAAGAAAACGAGACAAACGGTAAAACTGGTAAGCCTCAGCGAGGCATTAATTAATGAGTGGTCCTGGAATTACTCTTCTCTATTTTCTATACATTTGAAAATTTTCAAACTAAAGTATCTGGGCATCTTCCACATCCAAAGCCAGCGCCAATACAGCAGTGCAAAACCCCCTTCATCACTCAGGGAGAACAGATCCACTCCTCTCCAGGGAGCAGTGCCAAATAAGGAAGAGAAATGTCACAGTGTCATCATGTTTAAGAGGATTTAGGGAAAGCCCAGAGAGGAAGCAGAAGGCCCTCGCCTTGCTAACTGCCACCAAAGGGCTGCACGTCCTAAGGCTAGTCCCCCCGACCTTCGTAATTTCTGTTTTTCCATGTGTGCCGAGTAAGTGATGTGATGGTTCACTGGGTTTGGTTGAGGCAATAATACACTCCCATATAAGGACCGTTTTCTCTTGCCTCCTCTATTTGCCCGCTAGGTTCAGCCATATCTAGGCCTAAAGTCCCGAGAGCTCAGAAGTCACTGGAGGATCCTCTGTGCAGCTGTGGTTTATCAAGCTCTCTCTGTAGCTACGGATTAACAGTGATCTAACCACAGTGATGGGGCCCGAACTCAGGCACACTCAACAGGCACCCTGCCACCTGGCCACTTGCTGAGTGACCACAGGACCCCTCACTCGCCCCTACTCACCAGCTTCTGCACCAGGAAGAAGTCCTTCTTATAGATGGCAATGCCCTTGTTGAACAGCTTCCGCTCAGCCATCTTCCACTGGTCAGAGCCTGGAGAGCAGACAGGGGGCCAGGCTGTGAATCGGGCAGGAAAGTGGACACCCTCACCACTAGGCGTGAGCCCATGCTCATCTACTTTGGTTATGTACTAGCAGTCCCTTGGAGCCTCACTCTCCTTGCTTGTCAGGTGTGGATGGACATCAGAACCTGTCTTTCCAGACATGAAAGCTGTAAGGTGGGAACAGCCTTTTGGGGCTCTCCCTGGTACAGACAAAAGGGAACCTAACAGAGGTTCAGCAACAGTGGCTACTGGGATCCCATGACTGTGTTAATGCTTCTCTTACAGTACAGCATCCGGAATAAGGCAAGCACTGTAAGGCTAAGTTCCAGGTACCTGATATCAGTTTGGATTGCATTCTCTAGGACTGACCTTTGTACCTGTGACTAGGGCTTCCCCCCCAGCCCCCACCTCTGCCTGGAATGCCTACCCACTTCCCCTCAAGAGCATGGGGAGCCCCAAGAGAATGATCTGGCTTTGATATTAGTTTCCTTGCTCTGACTGTTGGCTGACTCCGTCCCAACTCCCATTCAGGACTGTGACCCAGCACCAAGCAGGGCCCCACGGATGCTGGACAGCCTTGAGGCTCAGGCCCACCTGTGTAGTGATATGTTGCCAGTGGGTGATTGTGAGGCCGCAGGGGCTTCTTCAGTAGCAGCTTGTTGAGTGCCTCCTGGAGGGGAAGAGAGGGCAGTCAGGAAGCTGGGGAGAGTCGTAGTGATGGATGAGTACCCCAGGCCTGAGAACATGTCGAGGGCTTCCTCCAGTGTCTGGTAGAGCAGGCACTTACTCTTGCCTGGCCTAACTGCTAGGAGCCAGGGCATGTGGGAGGATGGCAAAGACCACAGGAAGAGGGCTGCAGAGGACTCAGGTCGTAAGACCACTGCAGGAATCCTTTAGGGGAACCACAGCCATCAAAGCAAGTAGTCTGAACAGAGAATGCCTGCGGTGACAATCCTGTCTGAGAGTGGGGGAATCTACCCATCTGGAATCAGGGACTGGGTTCAAGAGTAGGACCTCACACACCTAGCCAGGGTTTGAGACTAGAGTCCCCTTAGGCCAAACTCCAATAGCCTCTTCAGACCCCTCGTAGCTACCTCAAATCACCATGCCAGGTCATTCCGTACTGAGGAGGCCAAGGCAAGGTAGACAGTCATGATTGGGGGTGGGGGTGGAAGAGGGTTAAGAGAAAAAAAAATAAAAATAAAATAAAAGAAACACACACACTCCCATTGAAACATATGTGAAAGAGCAAGTATAAATTAATAAAATTTTATACCACCAAGTCTGGTTCTGGCAGCAGGTAGGGAGAAACCTGTTCCTGCTTTATTAAAGGAACCATCCCCCTACCCCCGAATTTCACGAGGCTTTCTTACCAGGATGTCCCCTCTAGACTCGTGCAGATAGTGCAGGGCCAGTTCCTGGTTGGTGCCAGCCCCAGGGAAAATGCTTGAACAGGCAGCCGTCAGCAGGTCATCCACTGGACTCACCAGAAGCATTGGGAGAACAGGAAGTCATGTTAGGGCTGGATCCTACGGGACCCAGCCCGCCCATCTGCCCTCCAGCCCACCATGCCCTGTTCCCTGGAGAGCTCTCCTTACCTTGCCTCTGCTTCTCCCAGCTGCTCTCCAGATGCTCCCACGGCTGCCACACCAAGTCAGCCTTATGGGGGTCAGAAGCTGCCAGCGCTCGGTCTCTCATCATGGGGATTTCTGCTTGGAACCGGGTACCAACGTTGATTCGTCTGCAGGGGCGGAAGGGCAGGGAGTGAGGCCTCACTTTGTGGGGACAGAGAACCTGACTTTCTCCCTAGGATGGGAAGAAAATGGTACAGTTGGCAGATGCAGAATGCGGTAAAGCCTTAGCTGGGTGGAGGGAATCTGGCTTCTGGGAGCCAGTGAGGACAGCCTGGCTCAGGGCATGACCAGAAGGGCAAGACTCCATATTTTTTTGTTTTGTTTTGTTTTTTGAGACAGGGTTTCTCTGTGTAGCCTTGGCTGTCCTGGAACTCACTCTGTAGACCAGGCTAGCCTCGAACTCTCAAACTCAGAAATCCGCCTGCCTCTGCCTCCCAAGTGCTGGGATTAAAGGCGTGCGCCACCACTGCCCCGCAAGACTCCATATTTACCAGATAAAGAGAGACTCTTGGGCCCTCCCACCCAGCTCGCCTCATGACAAATTCAAGCTAGCTTGGTCCTTCCCTTTCCTCTCTTTGCATCGTCCACACAAAGACTGGCAGGAGAGAGCCCAGGACTGAAGTCCAGAGACTCTGTGAAGTCAGCGGCTCTATTATGGCCGCCACAGAACCCTCCCCTTGCTCCCAAAGCTAATCTGCAATGCATTAGGCCCGCCTGGGCACCCATACGCCATAGGCCTGGGGAAGGGCTGCACTTACGGTTCGATGCTCACAGGAGTGGCCTCCCCCATCACAGAGAGGACGGGCGGGGTGACTTCAGAACTATCTATGGGCAAAGAGCAAATTGGTAAATGGCCCCTTCCTCCCTTCAGGAAAACACTCCTGTCCTAGATGGCTGTCCTGCATGCAAGAGTCACAGTGGTGACTCACTGAGTACATTCGGAACTCAGGCACCCTTTGTCCTTGCTCTGCAACCTGATGACTGTGCAACTCCGGCCCTGTATTAAACATGTGAGTACCTCAGTTTTCACATCTGCAAAAGGGGTTATTTCTTCTCTGTCTCCCGGGGGTAATGAGATTTCTGATCTAATTAAGAGCCTGGCACTCCACCTCCACAACTATCAGCTATCAGTGTTAGCAGGACCACCAGAACCCAGCTCCAGCTTCCAGGAGCTCCCTCTCTGCGCATGCTTCTGTATAGAACTATCCTTTACTTTTGTTTTATTCTATCACAGAAGCGTACCAGGGAGATGGTAAAGGTCTTTATAATTATCTTTTCATCTTCTCTCTGGATTTTTTTTTTTTTGTCTCATTTTCCTCCAACTTAAACTTAAAGCCCGACTGGATGAAGACACTCCCTTAATCAAAACAAAACAGACAAAACCTCTGTTGCCGTCCCCTGCAATGTGAGGCTAAGTGTGAACCCGTAAGCTGTTTTGGGCAGTTCCTCGTGTCTGTACCTCCCTCCCCATGGCCTAGGCTCTCACCCCTACCTCATGGCCCTCGCTCCCCTGCTCAGCCCCACGCCATGCCTGCTGTCTGCCCCTCCCACTCTCCAGTTCCAGCTCAGCTCTGGCTCCACCCTCTCTCAAATTCTTTCCTTATCTATCCAGGCTTCTGAAGGTTAGAAACTTGGTGCTCGGACCTCTGCCTTTCTGTTTCCCAAGTTTTCTTGTCAATTCCCTAATAATCCCGCCCTGCACGTTCTTTAGACTAGATAACAGTACCCATACATTCTTGGAGCCTACCCGGGATCCAATTCGAGGTTTTACACCCAACGCTCAGTAAACGCTTGTTGGGTACACTGACTGACATCTTGTTGGCTCTGGCCCGTGATTTCCAGCACAAACTAAGCCAGGGAGAGGAACTTCCCAGGTAAGCAAAACCCATGTTTGACATCACAGGGCAATTTCCATCCACAAACACCAGGAGGCACCAGAGAACTACACCATGGGTGATATCTGGGGTCAGAGGTTAACTGGGAGAAGACTGAAGAGAAGATGCCATACCTCTGTAAGGGATCAAGTGATCCCACTTTCCAAGGAACGGAACCCCTTTGTAACATGGACATTTTTAAGCCTCACAACGCCCAGGTCTGCTCTTGACCAGAATGTCTCAACAGGCCCAGGAGAGTAAGTCAACCAGCTACTGTGAACAATGCTAACGTAACCAGTCCCTACTACAGCCCAAGGAGGCAGCTAATGGATTGAATCCTAAGAAACTGCTGTTTGTGGATCTGCTGAGTATCAGTAACGCCATCATCAGCCAAGCATGACTAATCAAACCCCGATCCTTGAATCCTGAAGGAACTGAGGTCTGAGCAGTTGGACTTGTGGATGTGACACCCCATCAGTGGACTGGGGCTCAGAATCCAAACAGGAGGACCGACCATGCATCACCCCACCCCCTCGGGGGAGACAGCAGAGTTCTTCCTCCAGCCCCCAGAACCCGCAGACAGAACTGTCTCTCTACACGCACCCCCACCACTACCAGGCTCACTCACTGGAGCGGAGCAGGGTTCGATGGGCACTCTTTGGCGTGATAGGCGGAGGGGCCGGGACGCTGCTGGATGATATGATGGCATTGAAGTAGAGGCCAGAGCCTTCCCGCACGGGGCTGAGAATGGGCGGCGGTGTGTAAGGGGGCAGCTCGAAGCTCCGCTCAGAGGGGTGGTCAGCAAGGCGCACAGGAGAGCGCAGGTGGCTCTGGTAGGGGGTGATGTTGGAGTAGACAGGAGGGGGGATGAAGGTGCCCGCCTTGTTGGGGATGATGAGAGGCTCCGGCCGTGGCCGCTGCTTTGGTTTCCGCATGGAAGGTTCCCCCTCCAACTTGACATTCAGGTCTTCAGCCTGGAGAAGGAAACAAAAGGAAGGGGCTCAGCCTCCTGTGCCCCCAGAAACCTGTAGTCTTGGAAGACGAGAAAGCCCCAGAGCTCAGCCTACTGTCTCCACCAGGCAGAGACACAGGCTAGCAAACTTCCCGTGAGGCCAGAGAAAGTGGCTTAGGTTGAGGAAGCTGTCTGTTCTACTTTTACTTTTGTTTAAATGAGAGAGAGAGAGAGAGAGAGAGAGAGAGAAGAGGAATCAATCCTGTCAGAATCTAGAAAGGGTTCTTAGTCTTAGTTATAAACTTGGGTTCTGGGCCATAGCATCCAGTCACACTGCTAAGCACGCAGTAGGAAGGAGAGTCCAGTCGGGAAGAGCCATGTGCTCAACTGCTCAGCCAGGCTCTGCTGACTTTGCCAGCCATTTAAAATGATACTTCCCATGCATATCTTTACCTCTTTTTTAAGAGACTGAATTCATTTTTTTAAAGATTATTTTATGTATATGAGCCTTTCCTATGCTGGGCAAGCACTCCACTACATTACGGAGCAAAATCTCCAACCCACAGCATCTCTCCCTCTACCCTGACGTTCAGATCCTTGGCCTAGAGAGGGCAACAGAGGACAGGTGGTCCAGCCTCCTGGATAGCAATATGTGCGGATATTTGGAAATCAATCCTCCGTGGTTGCAGTAATGTTTCTGTCATTACTGAAATCCAGATTCTTTATGGATGGACGCCTGCATTGTACACGAAAACCTAAGCTGTGGAACAGTATTAGATCTGCAACTAACCCACCCATGTTGTCAGAGGTTGGCCTTCCTAGCTCACCTTCTATATGGTATGCCTTATGAGCCTCTACACTGAGCAGAAAGCAGGGCCATCAAGAAATAGCCTTTCTCAGTCTATGTTAACACTCTCCAAGGGGACACCTACAGCATCTCTGGGCACATGGTAAACAAAGGTCGGTCAAGTTGACTTGAGGATGCCATAGGCTTTCCCCCTTCAAGGATCCAGCTCCTTCAACACATCCAGCCAAGGGGGCTCCCCTTCTGAGGCCCTTGCATGACCTTTTCCTTCCTATATGTAATCATGTCCCTTCTACGAATTAGGACAAACCAAGTACGTTCACTCCTCTCTGCCTTTAGGGAACAGCATGACCACCCGGAGAAACAGCAGTGGAGCCATGCTGCTTGGGTTTGTCAACTTGGCATAAACCAAACACAGCTAAGAGGAGGGGCTCTCAGTTGAGAAACTGCCTCCATTAGATTGGCCTGAGGACAAGCCTGTGGGAGCATCTTCGTAATTTCTAATTGATGGAGGAGGCCCAGGCCACTGTGGGCAGTCCTGCCCCTGGCCAGGTGGTCCTGGGTTCTATAAGAAGGCAGGCTGAGGCCGGGCGGTGGTGGCGCACGCCTTTAATCCCAGCACTTGGGAGGCAGAGGCAGGTGGATTTCTGAGTTCGAGGCCAGCCTGATCTACAGAATGAGTTCCAGGACAGCCAGGGCTACACAGAGAAACCCTGTCTCGAAAAACCAAAAAAAAAAAAGAAGGCAGGCTGAGTGAGTCATGATGAACAAGTCAGTGAGCAGCACTCTTCGATGACCTCTGCATCAGCTCCTGCCTCCAGGTTCCTGCCTGAGTTCCTGTCCTACTTCCCCCATGTACAGCTGTAAACTATAGGATGAAATAAACTCTTTCCTCCACAGGTTGCCTTTGGTCTTGGTGCTTATCACAGCAACAGAAAACTAACTACATCTGAAGCTAAAGGCCTCCCCCTTGTGCCAGACAATCCCATACAAAACCAGTTCCAACTATTTATAGGTAAGAGATTTAAACTGTTCTGAGTATTTTTGACCTTTCAAGTTGTGTTAATGCTATTGAGACTATTTTAAAAAGAAAGGAGTGAGGGAGGAGGAAGACAGGAAGGAAGGAAGGAAGGAAGGAAGGAAGGAAGGAAGGAAGGAAGGAAGGAGAAGGAAGGAAGGGAGAGAGGGAGGGAAGAAGGAAGGAAGGAAGGAAGGGAAAGACAGGAAGGAAGGAAGGAAGGAAGACAGGAAGGAAGGAAGGAAGGAAGGAAGACAGGAAGGAAAGAAGGAAGGAAGGAAGGAAGACAGGAAGGAAAGAAGGTAGAAAGGAAGGAAGGAAGGAAGACAGGAAGGAAGACAGGGTCAGCAGGCAGGCAGGCAGGCAAATAGACCATACGTATGCATTCTAATGCAAGCCAAACATATTTATGAATGAAATGTTACAGTGTGAAATGCACCTCAGAATAACTGAGTGCCCTGAGAGTACAGATGAAGTAAGGTCGGCTGTATTCTGGTAGAATTACGAGAACTGGGTGATGACTAAGCATTCATTCACTAGACCCTTCTGTTTTTATGAACTGGAAATGTCTACAATACAAAGAAACATACTAAATAAACAAATAATATAACACACACATACACACAGAACAAGACCCCAGAAAGCAGACAGTTTGGGGCTAACTATCCTGCAGTATCTCTCAGTAATCTTGGAGCCCTCTGGTATATGTAAACCCCTCAAAGACAAAGACTCGGAAGATGTAATGTAGGGTCAGCTCTGCCATTAGCTGGCCATCTGACCTCAGGTGAGTGCTAAGGTTTGCAGCGGTGTGAGGTTTGGTGATGGGAACAGAACCTGAGACCTACACATGTTAGGCAAGTGCCCTTCCATTAAGCTACCGACCCCCCAGTGCTACGGTTCAATAGCATTTGCACCCCAAGCATACACTCATGTGACAGTTTAATCCTTAAAGCCTGATGTCAACAGTATAAAGAAGGTGGAAACTTAAGTCTGGATGATATTTAGAGGCAGGGAGGTGACTGGCGAGGTTGACATAGGTCATCAGAGTGGAGTCGCCATTGTCGAATCCTGTGTGGCCTCAGAAGAGTATAGACACAGACAGACAGACACATGTGGTCCCTATCTTTCTCCCCTGTGAAGCTCTTCAGTTATCTTGGATCTCTGCCTGTCTACCTGCAGGATGGTTATCACCAGAAAAGGCCCCTGGGCTTTGTAGAACAGCCAAACTAACCCTCTTCATTATGTTAGCCTGCCTTGGGTGTTCTGTTAAGAGTGAGGAAAAGCAGACTAATGCAGTCTCTTGACTTTTCTGGACCTGTTTCCTCACGTATGAAATGGAGACGCCAACTATGTAGTTGCTCTGGTTCCTTCCTACCCTCTGTCAAGACAAGCTGCCAGGCCTCAACTTCCAGCCTCTAAATACACTTTCCCCCAACCACAAAGAAGACCTCAGAGAGCTGACAAGCTTGAATTTATTACCTCACAATAATCTCGAACGCCCTGTCTCTTCCCTATTATAGAGAACAAGCATGCAGGCCAGCTCTTCAACAGAATAAACAGGAAATCTGAACTGAATAGAAAAAAAAAATTCCCCCGAAGATATCAGAACAAACAGCTTGACAAAGAATTAAAGACCCAAGACCTGAGGTGGATGTGGGGTCAAACTGGCAAACCCGGCATCTCAGCTGCCTTAAGCCTGCAGGTGAATGCTATTTAAGGGCTAGTTTGACAGCTTCAAGAACTACCAGAATAAAAACTGTGGCTCAGAATAACAGTGGCAAACAAGCTTGTCCTTCCTTACAGGGAAGAATGCTTAAATCACCTCATCTGTTTCTGATTAAGTAAACATGACTCAGGATTGCTAGGGCCCTTTGCTGCCCAGCAAAAGTCAAGATGAATGCTCTTGGGCAGAAGAGACTCGGAGAGACACACACAGACAGGCACACCCACTGGCTTTTCAGGTAAATTTTAACAACTGGCCATGAAGTCACGGCTTCAGATCTAGCAAATAAAATGCCATATAAAGATGAATTCTTCTAGAAGGCGGAAAGATGTTACAGACAGCTTTAATGTCCAAGGTGTGAAGGTGTTCTTCAATAGGTCTGAGCACTATTGAAGAAAAAAAGTGATTTCACAGAAAAGTAAGCATGGCTTAGCTAGGAATGGCTTGGTGGGGAAAGTGCTGGGCATGCAAACATAAGGGCATGAGTTTGGATCCTCAGAACTCATGTAAAAAAGCCAGATGTGGGGGCAAACATCTGTAATCCCAAGGCTTGGGAGGTGAGACTGCAGGATCCCTGGGGCCTGCTCGCCAGCCAGTCTAGCTGAGCATCAAGTGTCAGGTTCAGTGACAGCCCATCTAAAAATCTCTAGTAGAGTGTAACTGAGAAAGACAGCTAACACATCCTCTGGCCATCATAGGCACACATACACAAGCGTGCACATCTGTACACACGTGCACACATGTACACTAACACACAAGTGCTGGAGTTAATTATCCATTTTCAAGATATACAGTATCTTGAATAGAGAAAACAAAAAACAAACAAGCAAAGCAAAGCAGTAACAGGGGTCTGGAGAGGTGGCTCTTCCAGAGGATCCAGGTTCAATTCCCAGTACCCACATGGTGACTCACAACTAACTCACTCCAGTCCCGAGGGAACTGATACCCTCTTCCAGCCTTGAAGGGCACCAGGCCCACATGTGGTACATAAACACACACCCATTCACATAAACAACAGACAAGCAAGCAAGTAAGCCTAAGAAGAGGGAACACAACAGCGGCAGCAGTCATTCGGTGGTAGTGGTTAACCCCAACACTCGAGGCAGGAGATCTCTGTGAGTTCAAGGCCAGCCTGGTCTACAGAGCTAGTTCCAGAACAGTCAAGACTACACAAAGAAATCATACCTCAAAACAAACAAACAAACAAACAAACAAACAAACAGCAGCAGCCACCATATTAAGAGTATCTTTGTGTTGGGAGTTGGTGCTAATTGAACTAGCTTCCACTGCACAATCCCAACTTTGCCTGCTAAAGCAGCTCTAGCTGGGTAGACAGCTGGGCAAGTAAAGCACCTGCCCGGTAAATGTGGGGACCAGAGGGCGGATCCCCGGCACCCAGAAAAAGTCCAGCAGCCGCGGCATCTCTGCCTATAACCCCAGCACTCCTATGGCAAGATAGAAAGTGGAGACAGAGAACCCTGGGAAGCCAGAGAGCCAACCAGCCCGAGGACACTCACAGCTGCAAACCGGGAGACTATGGCAGTCAAGTGGGAGGAGCACACACACACACACACACTCCCAAAAATAAAGTGGATGTTTTTGTTTTGTTTTGAAGACAACAAACAAACAAACAGTAACAAAAAAAGTAGAGGGGTGGGGGGCAGAGAAAATTATTGTAAAGTCAAAGCCAACCTAAGGTGTCATGTTTTCCTTTGAGACAGGTGCCCTCTATAAAGTCCAGGTTGACCTAAAACTACGAGACCAGGATGGCCTGAGATCCACCTGCCTCTGCCTCCCAAGCTCAGGAATTAAAGGGGTGCACCACCATGTCCAGCTGACACTCAGACATCTTGCATATAGAGTATGATGCCGTGATTTGGCTATGGTTCATCCTCCAAGGGTTCACAGAGCAGAGGCCTGGTCCTCAGCATAGGGCATCAGTTGAATGGTAGAACTTTAAGACACTGGGACTAGCGCAGGTAGTCAAACCAGGAGCACGGCCTTTGGAAGACACTGCTGCTGCTTAAGAACTGAGTGAGCTACCAAGAAAGCAAGCAGGCTAGAGAGATGGCTCAGAGGTTAAGAGTACAGTCTGCTCTTCCAGAGGTCCTGAGTTCAATTCCCAGCCACCACATGGTAGTTCAGAACCATCTGTAATGAGATCTGGTGCCCTCTTCTGGCCTGCAGTCATACATGCAGGCAGAACACTGTATACATAATAAATAAATCTGTTTAAAACAAAGTTTTTAAAATAAAGCAAGCTGTTAAAACGGACAGCCTTGGTCCTTGAGTCCTCTTGTTTGTATCTGTCTGTGTGTCTGTCATGCTATAAGCTCTACTGTGCAGGGGCCAAGAGGGCCCTTACTAGAGGCCGAGAGCTCAAAGCCATTTAATCTTGGACTTTCAACATTAAAACCATAATCTGGATAAACGTCTTTTTAAACAAGCACCAGCTTGTTATTTTAATAAAGCCACAGACTATGAACTAATATACTTGAAGTTTAATTTAAAAACAACCCGACTGATATACAAGGAAGCACAATATGATCTGAAAATTAGGAAATGGCAGGTGTGCTAGCCGCACACCCGTGATACATACAGGAGGCAGAGGCAGAGGGATCGCTGTGCGTTTGAGGCCAGCAATTTCCAGACAGACAAAAAAAGAAACAGGTAACAAGAAAAAAATGGGAGTTACGATATAAACCCCAAGAACTAGATTTACTCTACACAATAAAATTAAAGGTCAGGGGGTTGAGATTTGCATCAAAAATCTTGAAACTCTGAAAGTAAACCCGGCAGTGAAGCTGGGTCAGTGAGACGGCTCGGTGGGTAAGGCACTGGCCACCAAGCCTGACAGCCCGAGTTCCAGCTAAGAGTCTCACGTGGCGGAAGAACTGTAAGTTGTCCTCTGACCTCCACAGCAACGCCGTGGCACATGCACCTCACGGATGATCAATCAAATAATAAATGCAAAAAAAGTGTTTATAGCTTTAGAATTTTCTATTTATTTATTTTACGTGTATGAGTGTCTCGCCTGCACGTATGTCTGCACCACATACACGCAGTGTCCACGGAAGTCAGAATAGGGCATCGGATCCTCTGAAACTTCAGTTATGGATGGTTATGAGCCACACTGTGAGTGTTGGGAATTAAAGCTGCACCCTCTGGGAGATGGAACAAGTGCTCTTAACCACTGAGTCAACGCTCCAGCCCCAATTTTTTTTAAGTTTAATAATTAGCTAAGCATGGCGGCACACACCTAAAATCCTAACAGATGTGAGGCAGAAACAGATGGATCTCTGTGAGTTCAAGGCCAACCGGGGATCTCATCTTAAAACAAAACAAAACGTGAAATACCTAAAGTCAGCACTGGATAAATGGGTTTAACAGTAGACACAAGTAAAGAGAGAATTAGTGAAATAGATCAGGCTGGAATTCAGAGAGGAAACAGGAAAGACCATGCCACATAGGTGAAATGGTTATATGGTGACGGACTGACAGACATGTAACTGGAGGTCCAGAAGGAAAGGCGAGAGAAAAAGCTCGAAGACTTCAGAAGCATTGTACACTCTAAGCAAACAAACAGCAAAACTTTCAAAAAGTCTAAACAACCAGACCACCTCAAATCTTGAGAGTACAAGATAAAGATATACATTAAAGTAACAGTGCTGGGGCTGGAGGGATGGCTCAGTGGTTAAAAGCACTGACTGTTCTTCCAGAGGTCCTGAGTTCAATTCCCAGCAACCTCACAACCACCTGTAATGGGATCTAATCCCTCTTCTGGTGTGTCTGAAGATAGCTAGAGAAGATAGCTATTTATTTTATATACATAAGATAAATATTAAAACAAAAAAAAAAACAAAACAAAAAAACCACCAACAACACAAAAACCAGTGCCTGGTGGTAGTGGCTCCCATCTTTAATTACAGTCCTTGGGACGCAGAGGCAGGCGGAGCTCTGAGAGTTTCAGCCTGGTCTATGGAGTTCTAGGGCTACAATAGAAACCCTGTCTGGAAACATAAAATAAACAGGAAGACAGAGTGGGATCTTTAAAGTGCCGACAGAACCTAACTACAGACCGAGGACCTATATCACTCAGCAAGGTTATTTATGCTTTATAAAGGAGATCAAAGAAGATACTTTCCAGAAATCAAAAACCAGTAAAATCCATCATCAGCAGACTCACTCCAAAGGAAACACTAATCAAGTTCTTCAAGTAACACACAAACTATCCAAGATGGGAGGTGGACATATGAGGGACACGAAATTAACAGAAATGGCAGATGTCAATGGGTAGCTGGAGTAAATCAAAGAACAACGACGACATATATGTCCTCCGTTGATGACAAATATACAAAAATTAAAATACCTGCCAATGATTCTTCAAGCCAGGAATTGGCAGGAAACGGAGTTAAAACCTTCTAGGAACTTTGTTCTGTCCAGGAAGTGGCAAAAGTCCTTCCTTACATTATACTTCAGTAAGTATATAACTAATAACGCTGTTGTCAGGGGTGACAACCCCAGTCAATTGAAAACACAAGGACACAAAGACACCACACACAGAGACAGACAGACACTCAGCAGTGCATTAACAAAGACAGGATGGCATCACGGAACACTAACAGCAGGTGACAGAACTCAACCTAGGTGTATCAGTAATTACATGAAGCAGAGTTTCTATCTGTGGAGGCTATAAAGGTAGGACTCTCAGGCAGAGAGCAGGGGGCTGGGGCAGAGCGAGGACAGCAAAACTTAAGTTCAGTGAAAACTAGAGATATAAATTCAGTAGCCTATTGGACAACACAATGGCTTTCATTACTGAATTAATTTATTTCTCTTAAATGTCCTCACTACAAAAAATAAGGATAGGAGAAAATGATTATGCTAATTACCTTGGTTTAGCAGTTCTACTACATATATATATATATATATATATATATATACACACACACACATATACATGCATATATACATACACGTATATTTAAAAAACATTGTAGACCATGAATATAATTTTCATTAGTTACAAAAAAAAAAAAGAACTGTAAATTGTACTGATGTGCTTATTAAAAGACAAGGTTATTGAAGAAAAAACAGCAAACCGCAACTATATACTACTTGAAATTATTCCTGAAGGATACAGACAAGTAGCAGTAGAAGGACAGAAAGACATACACTGCCCACAGAGCACCAAAACATACTAAAGATGAAAAGAAACTTCTCTCAGCAAGTCTCATCCTGGGCCAAACATCACACCACTAAAACATCAAAACACCCCAAAGCAGTGACAGAATACAGGAAACACTACCATTACAATCGTACTGCCAGGGTCCATGGTGCTCGGTTCAGAACTGAACACACAAGCAAACATCCCAGAAGCTAGCTAGCTCTAGACCTTCCCTCGGAACCACTGACACCTCCTGACTGGCAACAAAAACAGATCTATATCCTAGATTCTCCCTGACGACCACGACATCAAGTATAAAATTACCTCATGCCCTCTGTGTACTTTAGTGCAAGTTTGATTTGGAAAATAAACACAGTATCTCCCTGATAACTGGGAAGATAGATCAATGGTTAAGAGAATTGCTCTTCCAGAGGTCCAGGATTCCATCCCCAGCACCCACACAGTGGCTCATACCCTCCATAACTACGGTTCCAGAGGATCTGATGAGGATTCCAAGGGTACCACATACTGGGCTGGGCATGGTGATACACATTTTTAATCTCAGCACTCAGAAGGTACAGGCAGGTGGAGATCTGTGGTTCAAGGCCAGCCTGGTCTATATAGTAAGTTCCAGGACATTCAGGACTACATAGAGACCTTGTCTCAGGAAAACAAAACAAAAAAAGAAGGAAAATAGCATCTCCCCGGGTTACTTGACGAATTCTACAGCTTCCTTTGGAGTCTTTGGAACTAGAAGCATGACAGCACTGGAGGAGTTGGGGGACAGCCTCTCATACCTGAGCTGCAGCGTCTGCTCCGGGAACTCGGGTGGACCGCCTGCGCGTTACGATGACTGACGGCTTGTGCTCAGTGGGGTACTGCTCAAGACCCTTCCCATCCTCATCAGCACCTCCAACTTGGGCCATCTCAGTTGGACCCACAGTCCTCACGGGAACAGACACGGGAATGATGAGGGGTACCATCCCACTCTCCTCCCGAGCTCTCTTGGCGGCTACGGCAGGCTCAGAAAACTCCACGCCACACTTGGCAGTTGAGGCCAACACGCTTTTCCGCTTCTCCTCAGAGCCATTGGCATCCTGGATAAGAGGGAGATTGGGGGGATGGCAGTGAAGTTCAAAAGATGAGCCCCTGTTTGCTGGCCTAGGAACCCCATGACCATTTAAGCCAGCAACTCAACCACCTACTGGTGAGTCCCTGACCGCCTGGCCCGAAGCAGCAGATTCCAGGTCGTCATCTGTCCACAGGGGGCTTGCAGATTATTTTATCTAGCCTATGGGGTGTGACATATCACCCACCAAGCATCTCACTGTGGCAAGATGAAGGGAGGGCTTTGCAGCTACTTCCTCACAGATATCTGACCAGAGTGAAGACTCAAAATTCTGCAGCCTCCTGTGCGTCAACCTGGACCCAAGGGCAACAGTGGCTGCAGCTTCTAAGGAAGCAGAGAGTAACTGTTGATCAAACAGGGGGGTGTCTAGCCTGACTATGTGGCTCAGCCTCTTTACAGAAACCTGGGACAGGTCACATCCATACGCTTGCTATCGGGTTTGGGACAAGTTACTTTTGAGCTAGAATAAAATAAAATTAAAAATCCAAGGTTAACATAAGTGTTCAAAGACTGGTTGGTTTTCCTTCCTCTCTGCCTTTAAAAAAAAAAAAAAAAAGAACGTTATTGCAACGTGACTTCCTATTCTCGATTACAGCTAATGCATTTTGACATGCATCAAGTGCAACCACCAGTACACTCAGCACCCCCAGCTCCCAGTCCTCAAGTTCCACAGGGAGAAGCCAACAAGGACTTTCCTGCCCACAACCGATGTGCACAGACACCTCAGCGTCCCGTGGTACAGGTGCCCCAGGCAGGGGTACTCTGAATAAGAGGCTCTGTTCCCCTTAAATAACTGAATAAAACCTGTCCTGTGAGCACCAACCCACCCCGGCAGGTACCGCCCTTTCTCACCTGCAGCGAGGCCAGCTCTACTGCCTTCTGGGCCAAGGTCAGCAAATTAGCCTCCTGGGACGCCCTGCGTCTCCGTCTCGTGCTCTGGATCACCCCACTTCGTATCATCTGTCCACAGTCCCCGAGGCCCCCTGCCCTCGTGACCTCCTCATTACCCATGGCGGGAGCCTCCCGCTCCCGACCATTGGGTGCCAGTCTGTCCCCATCGGCCAGCAGCTGTGACTCCCTCAGTTCTAACGGGAATCCCAGGGCTTCAGGATGAGGCTGCCCCAGGGCGCCCGGTGGTGGCTGCTGCAGAGACCAGTGATGAAGGAACAGATTGCTCGTGGGCTCCTGCCCAGGTTGGGTGCCAGCTCCATCGAGGGAGTTGGAAGGCAGAATCCCCTCCTTGGAGAGCCGGCGGGAGCGACGCGGGAAGGCCATCTGGGGCTGAGGTAGCACGGGCTGTGAAGCAGGGTCCTGAAGGAGGGCCTTGCGCAGTTCTGGGTTCATATCTGGGTTGTGAGGGAAAGGGTACGGGGCCATGCTGCGGTGAGCCAGGTGGGTCTGCCCCAGCGGCCCACCCGGTGCCAGGCCAAAGTCCTGGTGCTGCTGCGAAGGCGGTGGGTGCATTGGGTAGTAGTTCTCAAATAGCTGCATCTGCGGCAGGGCTGCCGGCTGCTGTTGCTGCTTCTGAGGTGGGAAGGAGGTGGGGTTAGAGGGCTGAGGGCCCTGCCGGAAGACCTGGCGGTTCACCTGGTGGCCAAATGCCAGCTGGAAGGGTTGCAAGGGCAGCGACTGGTTTGGGGGTTTCTTGGCTGCATGGAAAGAGTTCAAGGGTGCTTGGGGCCGCCCCACCTCCAGCTGCACCTTCTGAGGCACCATGGGCTGCACTGCGCTTCCATAGTGATCCAGCTGAGGACCCCCGGGTTTGCTCCCCTTCAGTGCCTCAGGGTGGTTATAGTAAGGAGAGACCCCCACACCTGGATGAGGACTCCCTTTGGGTCCACTGTAGAGGGGCAGGTGATTCCACGTGGAGTGGGGTGGGGGCTGGCCAGGTTGTTGCTGCCAGCCACTGTCGCTGATGCCTCCACCTCCTCCACGCTCCAGGCCCCGCCCTGGAGCCATCACAGAGTTGGGCCACTTTACTGAGCTTACTTGGGCCTGCTGGGACAACATGGCTGCCGTGGTCCGCTCTGATCCATATACCACACTGTTCAGCAGAGCCAGGTTGTTGGGAGGAGACAGCTCCACAGGCTGGGTGGTGGAGGCAACCCCTGTAGGACCTTCGTGGGCCCCGTACTGTTCCTCCTTAGCTCTGAGGGACTGTGGTGGAGCCTGCAGGGGTGGTGGCTGTTCCTTGGCAGCTGGCTCCTGGTCCCCAAAAGGACAACGCTTGCGCTTATTCTGAGCCTTGGACTGGGCCTGGAGGTTCATGGTGTGGCCAACTGAGCCTGGCAATGGGGAGTCCTTCAGCAGCTGCCCATCCCTTGAGAGAAGGTCCTGCTGGAAGCCTGGCCCGGGTCCAGTAGCCAGGGAGGGCAGAAGAGAGGCAGAGGAAAACTCAGGAGCCCTCAGGCAAGAGCCAAGAAATGTCCACTGGTCCTTCCTCTTCCAGAGGGGCTCTGGAGCTCAGCTACTCTCCTCGGTCATGATGCTGCACCAGGTCCTGGAGCCTGCAGAAGAAAGAGCAGTGACAGTGTCAGCCACATGACCCCTAGATATGAGCACTAGTGTCCCCCTGCCTCAAGTCGCAGAAGAGCATTGTATATGAGGGCCGGGAATCATGGGGCAGCTGCCAGCAAGGCAGCAGGATCAGGTCTCCTCACTCTGCTTGTCCCACCACCTCCTAGCTAGACTGGAGTCTGCTGCATTCAATTGTGTAACATGTACCCTGTAAAGACACAGCCCGAGGGGCCAAGTGGGGCCGACATGTTGCCTAAGCCCCAAGTTAAACTGGGAAAAGGGAAAGCAAAAATCAAACTAAAAACCTTGTCCTATTAAACTAGGTACTGTGCAGACCGGTCCGGTCCTCCTTACATGGCTGTCTACACAACAGCTCCCGACCCAGAATTTCCATAAGGCCACCATCCCTTCCACTTAAAGACAGAGCAAGTTAGGGGACAGGGACTATTCCCAGCGTGACCCCATTCTCTGTCACACCAGGCTCTAGCAAAGCCCACAGGGCCCAGAGAGTTAGGCTTGCAGCCTTTTATGCTGAAGCATGTAGGTGAGGCCCCACCCCTGGGAAGAGTTGCTGGGTGGGGCTCCGGCTGCCAGAGTCTTTCTCAAACTAGCACAGAACCTGTTTTGCAACCCTGGCTGGATAAGGGCCCAATTTAGTCTAGTAGCTGGTCAGCAGCTGTTGCTGGCTGCCACCTCCTTCCCCGCCGCCGTAGTTCGAGTGGCTGGCCAGAGCAGAGTCTAACTCAGAGATGAAGGGTGCCGAGTTCCAGACCTTAGGCCCTCAAGACTGCCTGTGATGTAAAGTGTTCAGTTTTTTGCTTTACCATATTTTGAGGACGCTGTTGCGGGGATAGGGGCTTCATTCCTGCTAAGCACATGTTGTTGTACAAGTGAGTCAGATTCCCCATCGTCCTCTAGGTTGATATTTAAAATGACTGTTATATTGACCTTGCTACGGAATAGAATCCAGGCCTGCATTTTACAACAGGCATAGCTGCTTGCTTTATCATTAGGTTTTTGTTCTTTCTTCAGATAAAATTTTGTTTATTTGTTTAGTTAAGTTTGTTTTCCTCTGGGAAGTTGGTAAGAGTAGGGGGTATATAGCCCACCTCTTCACCAAGACCCTGGCCCTGGGTCACTAAGGTAGGAAGGATAGAGGTGGGCCAGAATGAATCTGCAGATCCTGGTAGGCTCAGACACTGGATACAAGAGAGATTATGATAGCAGGTGGGGCAGTTCCCAGAAAACCAGCAAAGAACAGACCGAGCGTCATAAGTCCTGCCCACAAGAAGCCCCGCCCACAACTAGCCCCAGTTCCCTCCCAGGCACTTCGCGCTATCTCTGCTCTGCACGTTTCCGCAGCTCCAGCCCCGGCTCCCTCCTGGACTGGCCTGCCTGCCAGCCTGGCTGCCTGACTCACTGGAGGCCCCCTCCCTCTCTTTCACTTTCACCCAGCACCCAGAAGGGGAGCAACTTCCTCCTCCATTTCCTTCCTCAGCTCCTGAGCCTAGCAGACAGCGCGAGCTTTAGCCCAGGAGACAGCGAGCTATAGCCGGTGCACCCCTTTGTTTTCATTTGTGGAAATCGCAGGGACAGAGGGCACTGAGTCACCCTAGCACCAGCAGGAAGGGAAGGATTTGAACAAGCGCCCAGGGCTAGAGAACCTCTTTGAACAAATCTTTCTCTTGCTTTTTAAACCCCCTTTCTTGGGCGGCCAGACCAATTCACAACAGAGAACTGAAAGCCATTCAGAGATGGAAAATCCCCCTGGGGCCTCCATGATGAAGTTGAAGGGTGGGACTGCCCAGACCCAAGCCCGGCAAAACTAGAAATACGTGTGTGTCTGCAGCAAGGCAGAGGGAGGAAGAACCAGTGGGGGAGGAGACAGGACAGAGGGAAGCCCAGCAGGCCACGTGCCTCTAGGGAGCTGCAAGCCAGGGATGCTCACATACACTTGTGCCTGTCGCCTGGGAGCCACAGCATGGGCTTTGGGGGCCTGCAACGGGGGAAGGCCCACGTGGCAGGCAGCCACGGGTGCACATGCAGACATGTTCCTGTCAGAGGGGGCCTAGGCAGGGGACGGGCTATTCAGTGCCTGGTTTGGGGGTTTGGAGGGCATGAGGCGGAGTCTCGGAAGGGAGCTCAGGGATACGGTAGCTTTTGCCCATGGGTGTGTAGGGTGGCAGGGGAGTAAGTCTGAGGGTGGATCAGCTGTTGTGCTTCCTACCCTGCACACCAGGGGAGAGCCCAGCAACTCAGCATACCAAGATAGTGGAGACAGAGACTTGCTCAGAACAAGAGGCTGGTTTGGGGAAAGGTGGAATCACCCCGAAGCTTCCTGCCGCAGAGATCTCCACAACTATGCCCTCCCTGCCCTGCCAAGCAGGAGGCAAACATACGGGCCTGAGAGAAGAGGAAGAGGGAAGGGCCACCTAGGCAGCCAAGCTCTAAGTAGCCCTGATAATAACAATGTAGCCGTCTCGCCTGTGTCAAGAGGATCCGAAGTACTTTGTATTTTTTAAATCCTTGTATCAAGCCCCAATAGTATTTTTTAAATC